TTGCGTAACTTTAGCCTTAGCGGTTTCAGTGTCTAATTTGGTAACTTATTTATAACAACAATGCAAAACGTATTCACAAATAGAAAAGTACTTTTCCTTATTACATAATTATATAAATTAATTTACAGAATTATGTAACAAAAACGAATATTATTCATATTATTGAAGTTCTTTGAAATTTGGATAAGAACAATATTAGCGTGTCTTTGCGTGTGCTTTTTAACGTGATATGTTTATGATTTAAGCCACCTTTTCAGAAACTAATAAACCTCGATTCTCTGACGAATTGAATAAACGAAAATATGAAACTCTTTACCTTATGAACTGCATAATTAAAAAGTAAAGAATAAATCCAGATTTAAAACTTTATATAGCTTTCGAGACTGGTGATAAGATTAAACGCAATTAGAGCCCACCAGCGGCCGAGCTGTAAATTCGCTGAACACTGATAGTTCGGTCCGAAGTTTGAATTCCGCGAACAGGTGGGAGTTTTGTGGTTTCCCCCGTGCGTAGTGTGTATACGAGCCAGTGCCCTTAGTACGTCCTTCACGAAAGCATTAGGCAGATAGCCCTCGAGGCTTAGCCGTAATCTCATAAAAACCGAAAACAGAAAAAGAAAAAAATCTGAAAGGTTTCAGATTTTTAATTACGTCCAAAGGGATGTTTTTTTAATGCTTTGTTTGTTACGTTTATTTATTAAATATCATGTTCTTTGCACTTAAACCATAAAATTCAGTTCAATAGCAATGTCGCAAAATAATTAAAATGAGCTTATCTTTAAAATTTTCGATACACAGTTACGCGCTGGAGATAAAAGATGTTTTTTTTTTTTTTTTTTTTTTTTTTTTTTTTTTTTTTTTCCCGTAGACTGTTGCCATTGCTAGTTTTGAAATCCTTGAGTCTGTTAATCAAAAATTCGTTAAAGTATGAAATTTGGTCTTCCACATGCCCATATTTGTAGGAGGACTACGTCATTCAAAATTCGATGGTCTCTATGTACCGTTGTTTGATCACAATGCGATAGAAATATGCATACATTTACGCAGATTTTCATTATTTGATTTCTTCAAATATAATGCAGGACTCTAACATTTGGTGGCAACAGTTTGGAAAGTGAAACGAACATTAGTTATTCAACGCAAAATCGCAAAACGAAAACAATTGATTTTCAGGGACAAAGCCCCTTTGGACTAAAAACGAAATTAAGTAATTTTTTATTAGAAAAAGCGAAGTATACTGCCAAGGCACACTGCCATCTTCTGAATCACGTGACATCTGGATATGACATCGACACCGCCAACTTAGAATCATGATTACTCAGAAATGTTATTAACGCCCTCATGTTCTATAATGTATCACATGGTAGTTTTGTTTTTTGTTTGTGACAACAACAAATTTCGCTTTTACTATGCGACAACAACGATTCCTTTTGAAGCACTTGTTTGTAGGAGATAACATCATTCTGTAATACTTTTTTAAGTTATTTTTCCTGTATTATTTTAAGTCTTTACTTTAAGTTTAATTACATCACATTTTCCAAAATTTTACTTTATCTTTTCTTTAATTTTCTTTTGTAAGCATATATTTTAATTTAAAAGGGAAAGAAAATAAGCATATATTTTAATGCTTATTTTCTTTCCCTTTTCACGTTTTTACAAACGTAAATTAAATTTTCCCGTAAATTCTCACTTTTTTGTTTTTATAAATGTCACTGTTCTATGTTTTTCCCTCCCGTTTTTAATTTACGGAAGTGCCGCCCCCTATATATCTACTTTTTTTTTCCCAAAACTAAAATTTACTTCATCGCTTTTTACTTTCATTTTTTTATTATTTTACAAAAGAAATGTTTATTTTCACAAGTTTATTTATTTATTTTTTTTTTGCTAGTGTGTTTTTAATTTACAAATGTAATTTCTTTTTGACACTTTTTAAATCTTTTTCCTTGTGAGAGTTTTTTTTTTTTTTTTTTTTTTTTTTTTTTTTAATGTTTAACTTTTTTTCTTTTATTCTTTTGACAAAATCCTTCAAAGATATAACAGATTTATTAATTCAGTCAGTATATCTGTTTGGTAAAATTGACCTCCGAGTCATTGTGAAAACATTAATAAATAAGGATCTATAAGAAAATGTCAAGGAATTTAATGATTTGAAGAGAAATCAACTAAGTAATGTAAAAAGAGCATAGTGAATGAGGGTGTAGAGATTTATATTTATTTTAAATAACCTATTTAATTTGTTATTCTTTTGTATCAGCCTTCATTCCCCTAGTTGTCAGTGCCAGAATATTTCAATTTGGTAGCGCTCATGAAGAAATGCAAATTCTACGTTGAAGAAAACGTTTAAAAACCGAGTTTCAGGGTAGGAAAGAGAGAGAGTTAGGCTATTTGCCGTCACCTCTGCTGCTTAAGCGTTTGCTCCCAGAGTTATTGCTGGTTCGCGTGGCTTAATTGCATTTACTTGCTGTCACTAGTTTTCGACAGGGGTTTAAGAAACGGGATTTAGCGTAGCTCTGTTACTTGTACATATCTTCAAATTTTTGTTTCGTTATCTGAATTTCAGTTTTCCCCCAAGAAGAGGCGTAGTAGTTTGTTAGCGTCGAGTTGACGCATTGTAACGTTTAAAGAGTTAATAAAGGGTACTTTTACTACTCTTACAATTCTCACACAGGAGTTATCCCATTGGACTCAAGGTAAACTATTCTAATCGACCAAAATGTTATCTACATTGGTTCCGAGAGTTAAGCATGCAACTGCAAATTAGAATTTTTCGAAAGCGCAGTTTAATACGAGTGGCTGTAGTAAATCACTGCGGATGTAGATGGTAGTAGGCAAGTGCCATATCTTACAGCCAATCACAATTAAACTGTCCGGAAAAATACTAAATAGATAATAGTTAAAAAAAACAGTATTCTGAAGTGTTTGAAGGGATTCATTTAAATGCTGATGCAAAGTAGTTATAAATTTTTTTTAACTTTAATAACTAACTGAACTTCAGAATGCAATTTATTCATTTTTTACGAATCTCAAAGAAAAACTGCAGAAAAGCTATCCTGATTGAGTACAGAAGAGCTCTTAAATGTTCCCATTATAGTCTAATCATTTAATTAAACAAAAGGATAAAGTCAAATGAAAGGGCACTCGCAGACTGTTAAATTATGAGAACTTAGAGGGAGAGAAAGAATCCTTAATGCTGCATTAATCCTTAATCCTTAATGTTTTAAGCATAACTTCGTAAGGCAAGGCTAAAATGCATGCCAGGCTTTTAAGTGATGACAAGAACTCTAGCTCACTATTGTCGACGTCATGCAATTTCAGATCCCGATAACCGAAGCCTCTTAAGTGAAATTACACTTCGACCTCAGATTTGTTTGTATAGCTATGTCGAGCTGCGTATCATCAAGCAGGAAGCTTTAAACTCGAAGTTTCCTCTGAAAGAAAACGGTGATAGAAAGAAAACTGTAAAACGATGCTCTTTGTGGGATATACTTTTGGTGCGGCCGGATTCTTTTGCAGGTATTTTAGTAACGGCATTATTAACTTTTGTGAAATTCTGAATAACGATATCTTTTTTACATATTTTTATTTAGTTTACTTACGGTGTTTCATTATGAGTGGGATTTTTTCAGCGATTTTTGACCTACTTTTTGATAAACTTTCGATTCAAACTCTGAACACATTATTTTGTCAATGGCAATGCAATGTGATGATGCAATACTTTCAAAATACGACTTAGATTCTTTTTATTTAAACTACTTTTTGCACATGTCATTGTTTACGAACAAACTAAACACATCAAAATTTAACTGCTTGCACCATCGAAAAGAGTAAAAAAGTCTCTTCAGAGAAATTTGTATGAAACTTATTACTTAATATTAAAATTTTTCGTGAATTTTTAAAATTCGCTCGACATTTTGGATTATTTGAAGCTTATGATTTTAAAATTTCAACATCCAAAAATGTATCCGATAAAAAATTGTGAAATTTTCACAGATTATAAAGCAAACTTTTAAAATAAAAGTAATAAAAAATAGTATGCTGCGATTTTCTACATCTTTCCTTCCTTGTGCTAAGTAAAGGAAGTATTGTAATCACGAAAATTTCCGGGTACCATATTTCAACGAAAATATTCATTTTTACCCTTATCGAATGCAATTTAACGATGTTTTTGGTGTGATATGTGTACGTAAGGACAGAAAGAAGACTCTTTTTGTTCAAATTATAAAAATGATTTAACAAGGATTCAAAACATATTTTTTTCGTGGCGTCTGTACGTATGTATCTCGCATAACTCAAAAATGAATAGCTTCAGAACGTTGAAATTTTGTATGTGGGATTGATATAACATGTAGATTTGCACCTTTTGCTTTGTTTGCAAAATCGGCCGCACCAAAAGTATATAAATATATACATATACATACCTATATACCCATTCTGTTACATGGCTTAGTTTTTTTATTCCGCGAGCTTATATGTTAGTAAATTGTGCATTTTTTGCTTTAAAAATGATTCAATTATGTTGCTTTTATTTTCCGGTTAAGGTTTATGCCTTTACTTAACCTGCATGTTATAGTTGTAGAATTATAAACTATTTAAATAGTTTAAGTGCGGTTAAGCCTAATTTTTTCACCATAGCCATATCTGTTTACATTTGAAACAGCAGAACACTGACTTTGTTGCCAATCTAGAGAAATTAATCTTCGCAACAATAAAGATAACGTCTTCTTTTATTATTGCGGATTAAATGATGATTAATCCATTCTGGAATTATCATTTAAGTAGTAAATTACCCTGTATATTGACTCAGCGCAGCGTCCATAAACAATTCAGTTTATACGCGTTCACTGTCTTTTTGCCGAGTGGGACCGAAAGGAAACTTAGTTTTGTGCACCGAAAAATCTGTCTTTTTGTCTGCTGGCCGAATTACTTGTTTTTGCGCAGAAACTCTGATTTTAATTGTAAAATTTTTTTCAATAGTTTTAACTGTATTTGTGATTTATGCTTTCCTATGTCTTTCAATTTTTAATGAAGATATTTTGTGTTTTTATGTAGTTTTGTTTTGCCGCGAAGTAAGAACTGAAATAATTGAATGAGAAATATATTTTTAAGTAAACTCGAGGAAGCCTGTCTGACTCCAGCAGAGGAGAATCTTTACAAGTGGCCAATGCGCATTAGGTAAGCGGTGCTCAATCGTCCGTGAAAAACAGTTCCTGTTTTATTTACTTAATTTCTTTTATACATTGTTTTAGATTTATTATAGTATTTGAATATAACATATGGCAACGATTAGAGAATTCTTGAGATGATATAATTTTTGTGTATTCTGAATTAAAAAAATGAATGAAATGTAACTCTGCTAAGTGAACCTAGCGCCGAAGTGTCGCTATGGTAAATAAATAAACTGCTGACCACCCAAATTGCAACACCAAGAAAGACAAGAGATATCACAATAAAATTTATTTAGTAGATAACATGTTGACCAAGTATCAAATGATTAAATTTATAGATTTCTGTGAAGTGTGGTTCCTTCCAGAATCAGTAGCCTCAGTAGCCGCCATTGTTGGAGATCACCGCTGCCACACTCCTCGGCGTTGATTCAACGAGACTTTGGATGTGTTCTTGGGGTACAGCAGACCAAGCAGCTTCCACAGGTTGCCAAAATTGCTCTGGTGTGGCAGCTTGGGATGTAAACTGGGTCAATCGTTCAGCAACCATGGACCACATGTTTTCTATCGGTGAAAGATCGGGAAAGCGAGCCGGCCAGGGAAGCAATTCAATCTGCCGATTGACGAAGAACCCTTGAACAATGCGTGCCACCTGTGGTCGCGCATTGTCCTGAAGGCCCTGAAGGCAAGGAAGGACAACTGGCTCCAACACCTGGGAGATGTTGTGCTGGCTATTTTAAATACCGGCAATGCGTACTAGAGGAGTGCGAGAGTGGTATCCAATACCGCCCCATACCATAATACCCGGTGCAGGACCAGTGTGGCGGTGCATAACGCAGCTGTTCAGCATCTTCTCTCCACGGTATCTCGAGACTCGAATCCGACCATCGTGGTGTTGCAGACAGAAGCGTGACTCGTCAGTAAAAACAATTTTATTCCATTCTACCGTCCATATCCTTCTTCCATCGCACCATTGGCGGCAAAACGGTCTGTGGTTCTGCGTCAAGGGTAGACGAAGCAATGGACGTCTTGTGGACAGACCACTTTGCTGTAAACGGCGTCGAATGGTACGCGCAGATACTGGATGATGATGTGTTACAGACAGAATGTGCTGTGCTATGTTTCGTGATGTGACTGAGCGATCCGTCACTGCCATGCGCACAATGTTCCTGTCATCACGTGAAGTGGTGCACTGAGGTGGATGCGATCGAACACGTCGGTCCGCCGTACTCTCCTGCATCCAACGATCACCTATCCGCATTACAGTTGTTTGGTTTTGTCCAACACGACTACCGTTTTCCCTGAAAGATAATAAACACTCTCGGTAGGCTACTATCCTTCTTCTGTCGAACTCGGATACTTGATCAAACGATGATCGCTATTTACTAAGAGGAATAATTGTTCGTTTTTTAAATAAAAAACCACAAGAAAAACACACTTGCCGAACTTGAAATCGTCGAAAACTCCAAGCCTTAAATAGCGCTTTGAAGTGGTGCCACAGGCGCCCGTGATGTGCGATCCGGCTGAAATTCTAATCATTTGCATATATCACCTCCGCTAATGCATGTTGTAAATTTCTTGTTATTTGTATGATTCCTTCAGGGTGTTGCATTTACGGTGGCCAGCAGTGTATAATGAATTTTTAGAATGCATTTATTCTATTGTGGTTTATACGTTATCGGCGAAGTAGAATTCAATATGTTTAAATGAAAGGCAGGAAAAAAATGCATATAATTTCACTTTCCGTACAAGGAAGTACACATCAGATTTTTTTTAATACAGTAGACTCCGCGGATTTTTAATACAGTAGAGATCCGCGCCTGCCGCACAAAGTCTTTTTTTTACAAGCGTAAAGCAAAGAAAATAAAAATGTTCACAAAACTGAGCCAAACGTTCAACTTGCTAACATCGTGCTTATTTATAGCAAAAATATACCAGGCCTTCTCGGAACCTTCCCCTATGATGAGTAAGTGATTTCTTACTCACCCTTGCAGTGACCGCTCCACCGCCCTCTCTCGTCTTACTGACGCGTCCTCCCACTCGCCATTGTTAGTTTAAGCCTGATAGTGTTTGCGAACCGGTCGGAGTTAATTTCTTATCTTTTATTGTGTTCAGTGCTTGTGCTTTTTGGTTTTGTGTTTTTCGTTACCGATTTAAAATGTCAGGAAAACGAAAGAACTTTGTGTTGACGATTGCGAAAAAACTAGAATTAATTTCCAAAGTAGCAAACGGCGCTACAAGGCAGCAGTTGGAATTGGATTACGGAATATCGGAAACAACAGTGCGTGACATTCTAAAACAAAAAGAAAAACTGGTGAACTTTGTATCGATGTCGGACATTGCTTCCGCAAGGAAAACACGAAAAACTATGATGGGTTCTACCTTTGATGAGCTAGACACGGCACTGACAGAGTGGTTAGCTCAAGTTCGAAAAGAGAGTACTCCTGCAAATGGTGCTATCATTGCGGCGAAGGCAAAACCGTTTTTTGAGTTGTTAGGCCTAAAAGGAAATTTTGATGCGTCTTCTGGCTGGTTGACTCGTTTTAAGCAGCGATATGGAATTCGAGAAATTGGACTTCATGGGGAGAAACTTAGTGGTGACCAACAAGCAGCCGACGATTTCCACCATGAATTTGAAGAATTTGTTCTAAAAGAAGAGCTATCTTTTGCACAAATTTACAATGCCGACGAATCGAGACTTTTTTGAAAATGTCCACTCGCACTTTAGCTTTTGAAAGTGAAAGTAAAGCGGCGGGTCATAAAAGCAGCAAGGAAAGGATCACTATCATGTCTTGCATTAACGCTACCGGTGGACATAAACTTAGACTTGTTGTCATTGGAAAGTAAAAAAAAAAAAAAAGAAAAAAAAAGAAAAAAGAAAGGATGGATGAACCGAAACATTTTACAAGAATGGTTCGAAAAAAATCTTTGTTCTTCAAGTGCATAAATATCTTAAATCGAAAAACCTGTTTGAAAAAGCTGTGCTGTTGATCGAAAACGCATCTTCTCACCCAGCAACAAGCGTGCTAAAGTTTTTTGATGGACAAATTTTTGCAAAGTTTCTCCCTCCAAACGTTACTGCGCTAATCCAACCCATGGACCAAGGAGTCATTGCAACAATGAAGAGAACATACACAACCAAGCTGCTAATGACCAAAATTGAAGAAGGTTATGATCTGAAAGAATTGTGGAAACACTACACAATCTTGGCAGCATCTACGACATTGCATCTGCATGGGACTCAGTAAAACCATCAACCGTCATAAAATCATGGAGAAAACTCATGCCTAATGTTGAAGCCAACAGCAACCTAACCCCTTTGAGTTGTGAAGAAGAGAATGAAGATGTAGACACTCCCACGGCAACTCTTGCCGATATGGTGAAAACAGTTCCGGGTGGTGAGAACGTCGATGCTGAAAACATTAACGAGTTGTTGGAGTCTGACGTCAACGAACATGGCTTCGAACGCTTGACAGATGATGAAATTGTGAAGAAAGCAAGGGGAGAGACCGAGAATGAAGGACAGCGAAGTGAAGGCGCAGAAGAGCCCGCTGTGCAGATGCGGGAGACTCACGAAAAGGCTTTGCAACAAGTCGACGGACTGCTCAGCTATTTGGAAGAACAAGACGACGCGGAGTTGGCCGAGAAACTTATGCTACGAAAAATGCAATCTCGGATCAAGAGAAAATCTTTCCAAAGCAAGAAGCAAACACAAATGACTGATTTCTTTAAAAAAGTGTAGTTTTACAGTTATGCTTTTGTAATTACATAATACATTACAGTATTACAACAGTACATACGTATTAATTTTCTGTGTATCCTTGACGCCTCTCGTAAGTATACAAAGCACTTTTCTGTTTTCATTAACAAAATGCATTTTAGGTTAATTTTGAGTGATATACTAAAATATTAAGCGTTAGTAAAACATTTCCTGCTGTTTATTTTACGTTTTGTTGTACATAAAACGATTTTTCAAAGTTGGAATGACTGTTTTCTCTTTTGCTATACCCGTTTTTAGCTTTTTTCGGATTATCCGCGATTTTTGTTATCCGCGGCGGCCGCGCCACCCAATGCCACAGATAATCGGGAGTATACTGTGTGTAAAAAAGTCAGTCTGAAGCATACGGGCGAAGGGCGTTTCTCGAAAAAAAATGCTTTCGTGTTTGTCATCTTACCGCACTTAATAATGAAGTTTATAAGGTATTTCTCCCGCCTTCCTAGCGTGCCTTCGTGGTAAGCATACTGAGCCGGTATTTTAGAGGTTCGTGATTCGATTCCCAGCGAAGGCGTTGCTAATTTTTCATCTTGCCTGCCTAATGTCTCTGATCTGCCATACCTAATGTCTCTACAAGTTTGCCATAGTGGTACATTCAATGACGAACTGGAGATATCCGATTCTTCATTTTAACTTCAAGCAAAATACTTGTTGCCCGATTTCAGAATCTGAATATTCAGTGATTTCTTCATTCTCTGACTGATATTCAGTTATTTATCGTTATTTCATAATTTTCTTATAATATATTGCTTGTGTTTTAATACTGACTGAAAATTTTGTCGTTGGTAAAGTGTAACTTAGGCTAAAAGCAGAAAATAAAGTAGAATAAAAAAGCTTTTATCTAGTAAGCTTTTATTTAAAAAAGATATGACAATCAATACATTAAAAGAAAATAATTTATTATGTAATTTAAACGGGAATAATAGATTGAATAGTTATATTTACAGAACTCTTTCTACTTTATTATTTAAAAATTAAATAAATGTTGGTGCTCCTGTTAACAAGATGGGTAAGCCTGCCGATTCTTGTACAGTTGTTCTATGTTTGGATGTATTTTGGCAAGCTGATAGCTGAGATCAGCACACTCATCAGTCTAATCGATTTCATTGCTTTCTTTTCGGATTCGTGAAGAAAAGCCTATCTCACACACATACATAGAATCGAACTTAATTATAATTTTTAAAGGATATTGTACAATTCATTCTATTCCGTTTTTCTTGGTTGTGCCATATGTG